CAGGGGAGGACGCAGCTGAAAGTGGTCAAGGTCACAGGTCAGGGGAGGGCACAGCTGAAGGAGGTCAAGGTCACAGGTCAGGGGAGGACGCAGCTAAAAGTGGTCAAGGTCACAGGTCAGGGGAGGGCGCAGCTGAAGGAGGTCAAGGTCACAGGTCAGGGGAGGGCACAGCTGAAGGAGGCCCTGTGTCAGGGCCACTACTCCTGTGAAGGGGCGACCAGAGCACTGGCGGAAGCTCTTCCTGAGAAGCTGCTGAGGTACAGAGACACATCTCTGTGCCAAGTCAAGGTCACTGGTGGGCACGCATCCCGATACTGTTTGCTGGGTCATGAACCTTTCTGCAGGCCCCAACTGTCCATGAGGAACAAAGGGAAGAGGCTTAGAAACCCCAGCTTAGACTCTGCACTGGCAGACCACAGGGAGTTGTTACTAATTTAAGTTCTTTCTTTGGCTATTTGGCAATGTCTGAGCAGGAAGTAACTCAAAGCTTCCAGCAAACTTTCTGTGAAGGCCCCAGCCCACGCCTGTGCTTTCCCCTCTCAGTGCTGGCTCCCCAAAAGCACATGAGAACAACTCACCCTGTGCTTGCCTGTGTGTGGCCCGTGCCTGCACGGGTCACTGGGGGTGTCAGACTCCCACCCTCCCCTCCACAGTGTGGTCTCAGGTGGCAGTCACCAAGGTGGCCAAGCCAGATGAGCAAGAAACTAGTGTGTAGCCACTCCCTGCACAGCAGAGTGACAGCCACCAGAGAAGGAGAGGACCTGCTGCCACACGGCAGGCTGTCAGGGGACACAACGGTCCCTCCAAGGTCTATAGCCAGCAGACAGGACCTCCAAGGAGCTGCAAAGAGCCTGTTTCTCAGCAAAAGAGGGGCTGGCCACAGCCTGCCCCCCGGCCTCCACTCGTCTTCCCTGTCTTCCTTCCCGGCGAGACAGGCCCCAGCTGGGACCCCACACGCTCACTGTGTCCTGGGCTGTGCACACCGCCTCACTATGATGGTGACTCATCTCAACACGGAAGGCATTGTGGGGCACCAGCCCACATAAATAGTTGAGAAACTTGTGTTGTGACGGTTCAGAAAGGATATATTTATTTGACTAAAATGGCTTGGCCCAATTTTGGCATCTGAGACAATGAAAGGACTTTAGTTGCTTTATTTAAAAGACTACGGATCAAGTTATAATAAAAATAACCTTGTTTTCCATCCCAATCATCTATCTCTTCAATGAAGTTCACTGGCACCTCTGAGAAACCCGTGAGAACAGAAAGACCTCAGCAGGCTTTGAATCTTCCTTACCACTCAAAGAGGCCGGGACACAGACATTCGCTCTGGGTGCTATTTTAAAACCAGAAGAATGAGAAGGGCAAAGAGGAGGCTGTGAGGGCGGGCGGCCGAGTCCCTCCCAGTCCCTCGGTGGTAAAGCTGAGACAAGAAGAGTGGGCGGCCTGCTCCCACGTCTCCTCTTCTACTAGCACGGGGGACAATGAGGAAACCCCACACCTCCCCTGGGGGCACAGCACACAGCCGTCGGGCTAACCTCGGCCCTGCTGAGACCAGAGAACCTTCATTCACCACTGAACCACGTCAGGTGAGCTGCACAGTTACGGCGACTCGGGCCTTGCTTCCAAGGAAGCTGGGTGCTCAGGGGACCCCACGCACCATCACTCCTCACACACCAGGATCAAGAGAGACAGCAAGGCCCACATGACGGCTGATGCTCTGTGCACGCCCCCTGCAGCCTGGACACACCTGCACACACCTGCACACCCAGGGAGACCTGGCCAGGCCATCAGGAGAGCTACCAGCTACTGCCACGTCACCTCACTCCCGCAAAGTCCTCTCCAAGGGCAGCGTGGTTTTCACCTATGGTGCCCCTCCACTGTCACCCACACTAAGCATGTGAGTCCAGGTTACAACTCCAACTGCATGGCACATGGACACAGTGGGCTTCGGTGCGCGGCCCTGCCCCGAGCAGACAGCTAGCTAGCGTTTGCTGGCTTGCCAGTAGCATGACTGAGATTGTGTATTCGGCACTCTGTAGCCACCAAGAGATGATTAAGGAGACATTTCAGTGCCTACGCAAGGGGCAAGGTGCAAACCAAGAGGAAGGTGACTTCACCACTCACGACATGTGCCACGCTGTTCACAGGCTGGGAGCGTGGGGCCAGCTCCACACACAACCAGCCTCCAGTGATGAGGCTCCTCAGGCTGGACTCTGAGCCAGGGCGGAGAGTATCCACGAGCCCCCACGGCGGTCGGGAGCTACTAGGGCATTAGGTGCTGCCACACCAAAAATTAACAGCTCTCCTGCTTTTGTAAAACCACGTTTCGTTTCGTTTCACAAAACAAGAGAGCTGTCTCCCACAGTGAGAGGTGACACAGAACACATCCATGTGGATGTCACAGAAGGGGATTCAGGCCAGTGGCCCGAAGGCTGTCAGACTTACAAACATCAGGGCTCAGATGTGTCCAAGGCCACCCTGCCCCCCATCTCACGCACAAAAGTGGGTGCTGCCTTTCTGCCTTTAGGTATATATAGTTAACAGAGTGTCTGTAACCCCAGGACCCATACTTACCTGGAGAAATCTGACTTCTGTAAGTTAAAAGAGGTCCTTACATATACGGGTGGACAGACAGGTGGACAGGCTGAACTATTAGGTATGCCTATGAAGCGGGGAATGTACCCAAGAACATGTATAGGGTTAGCAGACAATGGTCCAATAAGTTTGTGTGTATGATCTGTATAGTAAAGCTGACAAGGGGCAAGGTTGTAGTCACTGCTTGGTCACAGCTAGTTACCCAGAGGGACCGAATAGTTGAACCTGTGGGCTTGGGACCATAGTCACAGGGGACATCAAGCTCAATTGGCATAACATACTACACAAAATATTGTTCCACCTCCTACTTTGGCGAGTAGCGACTGGGATCTTAAAAGCTAGCAAGCTGCCATCTAGATGCAACAATGGGTCTCTCCTCGTCCAGAGCAAAGAAGAATGAAGAAAACCAAAATTCATGGAAACAATTAGTCCTAGCAACCGGTACACCATCCGATCTGCAGCCTATACGACTATGAGACCAGAAGAACTAGATGGTGCCCGGCTACCACTGTCAACCATGTGGAAGGGGATCTATGTAGGAGATCCTGGATAGAGAGGGAGAACAATGTGGAACAAAACTCAAAATCATTTGGAGAAAAAAAAAAGGGGGACCAGGTTTGCTGGTCTGACAGAGCCTGGTGGAACCACTGAGACTATGGCCCCTAGCTGCCCTTCAGGTCTGGAATTGAACCCACGCCTGTGGCTTCCAGCCAAACAATAGACAGGCATATGAGCTGAACATTTATCTGAGGTAGATACACTCCTTGGAGAGAAAAATCATAGGAGAAAGAAGGGCTGCTTATGCACTGGGAGACAGCTCAGGGGGCAGGAGTGCATGGAGGGACGGACACAGGGAAGAGATAACTACAGGGAAGAAGTGGGAGGGGAGCTGTTGCATTGTGGTAAATTGTGGTCAATGTCATGAGATAAAGTGTATGTGAATTGCTATATGGAAAGTGAATTTGCTCTGTAAATTTTCACTCAAATCACAATTTAAAAAAAAAAAAAGGTCCCTACATGGTGTAGACAGTTTATGATCGGCTGCGCTGATGATTCAAACCCACTCAGCAGTGCCACTGAGGAGAGGCCTGCTGGTCTGCCTCGGTCAAGGTCACAGCCAGGAAAACCCTACGGAGCAGTGCTCCATAGTGCTCAGGGCCGCCGTGAGTCAACGCCAACCTGATGGCCGCTGGTAAGCTCTAATGCAGAGGCTCGTGGGTTTCCAGTCGGCAACTCAGCAGAGGAAGTTCCACACAGGAGGACGACAGCAGGGGAGAGAAAAGGCAACTGGTCTTTGGTCTGGAATCTTCTTCCCAAGAAGCTAGCTGCACAAGCTCCCAGCCACCTGGAGGCAGTGAGCCGGAGCCAGGCCACCGCGCTTCATAGCAGGCATCCTCGTCTCAGCTCACAGCAAGAACTGCAAGAGCATCTTCTGTGGAAGGGCCACGACTGCCCTCCTGGACCACCTAGGTCCCGAGCCTGAACTCTGATTGTAGAGGGTGTTCAGCATCCCAGTCTTGGCATGAAGGGCAGTGAAGCTCTGAGTACCAGTGAGGTGCTTGGTTAGGGTCACACACTGCCCACAATGAAAACACACACGGTGTCACACCCCTCACTCAGCACCCTGGGGCACCCGTTTCCATCCGAGTCCAACTTCTTGTGCTGTTTTCTCTTCACTGACCTGGTTTTGTTTTGGCCCCACCCCCGTGTGTCACCTTACTCTCCAAAGAGTGGATTTAGGACTGCAGGATGGATGTGTGTTGACGTCTTCACTCTCAGGAAGAACGTATGTGCCATAAACCATAGGATAAAGTGTGCACTGACGCTTTCAGGGCGTCAGTCCACAGGAGTTTCTTTACACAGGCTGGTTTTCGGTGTGCACTGCAGTACTCACCGCCATACTTGAGAGTGCCATCAACAGCGCCAGCGGCACCCTGCAGGATCCTGGAACACTCCCTTCCCAGAGCAGGCCAGCTCCCACAGTGAACGGCCTCTCCCACCACAGAGCACCCCGGCTCCTTACTGCGCAGCTCTCAGGGCTTGGGAGCCATCAGAGGCCAATCACAGACAAGACCTCAGTGGCCCCTGAAGCACAACACTCCTCCACGCAACTCAGCACAGGGCAGTCTGTGCGTCTGCTTAGTCAAGTTCGCTAAGAGCCCAGAAATCCCCACACGCAGGAACCGCCTGTAACTAACCTGACTAAACCCCTTCTTTAACTAACAGCTCCCATCTGTCACCCAGTATCACTCAGTTGTCCAGATTAACCTAGGAATAACCACGCCAGATACGCTTTCAGTGGGGCGTCCTGGTGATGCAATGGTTAAGTGCTCAGCTGTTAACCAAGAGGTTAGAGGTTCAAAGCCAATAACCTCTTTGTAACAAAAAAGACCTGGCAATCTGCTTCCCTGAAGATCACAGCCTTGGAGACCCTGGGGTGGCAGTTCCACTCTGTCCTCTAGGGGTGCTGGGGGTTGGAATTGACTCTAGGCAGTGAGTTTTGTTTTGGCTTTGCTTCCATAAAGTTCACAGCCCAGGAGACCCTCTGGGCAGTTCTACTCTGTCATGTGAGGTTGCTACAAGTTGGAGTCGCTATGACAGCACCTTTTCAGTTGACACATTTTCCGTTGACTTAGCAAAGATCTGAGTGACAGAGTCTTCTTCACACAGGGTTTGTGCCAAAGCAAACGGAAATGCCTACACAAAAGGCCAGGCTACAGCGATCTGCTCCCTTGTCAGGACGGTAAAGTGATGCCTGAACGGACGGGAAGTGCTGTGTCAACTCATGCAAACCACGTGGGGCTCCCAGGAAGCAGTCATTTTGAAACCTGTGGTTGGCTCTCAAAAACTTGAGGCATGTAACCATTTTCACAAGAAGGTAAGAGCAACTCTTGGTTCTTATCAGGAAGAAAATGGACTGAAAGTAAAGATGGGCCTTGGCCTCTCAGAGCCTCTTGTTAACAACATGCTCTCCAGTATAAACGATGTCCATAGCACCTTCTTCAGCTGAACCCTTGGCTTCCAGTCAAGGGGGACACTGGGAGATGCAGCCCATGTAGCTCACAGAGCATCATCTGGGTCATAGAGACATCTATCAGATGTTGCCAGTGCAGTCATGGTGGGCCCGGTACCAGAGACAGTAGTGCATTCGCCATGTCTCCACCATGCACACTCTCAGCAAGGACTCTGGCCGACCTCCACTGTCTGTGTGCTGTCTGAGCCACAGTGTCAAAGCGGACACCTCAGCGCCTGTTTCCACAGCACTGGAACCCCAGGGACATGCATTCCCAAGGACAGAGGTGGGCACCACAGCTGGTTAGGAAACACTTCCTCCTGATGGAACTTAGACCAAGCGGAATCCTTCTGAGTCATGCCTTTTTCTCCTCAAAATCAAGTCAAAATTAAAATTAAGATGTTTTCTGATTTGCCCCCATCCTCACAGCCTGTATTACCCATCAGGGGCTGGTCTGACGGAAATAATTCATCTTCAGTGTGTGACAGGACTCAGTTCAGACCCTTTGCTGAGTGAGACTAGTTTCCTGACCGGCCCGTGGTACACAAGGAGCTAGACTCATGTAAGAAAGCTGACTTCCACTAGAGGCGTGAGGCATGATCCCTCCCCGTTGATCCCCGTGGTAAGTTTATCATCCATCTGCTGTTTGCTCAATGGAAACACACTGCACGCTAATCATAGTCCATTAACAAACATAAAAAAAGGAGGAAAGTGTTGGTTTCTGTGCTAACCCCTCAACCACTGTCAGGGTGTCAAATCATGATGTTTGCATGTGGCTATGAGGCTGGAAGCTACATCACTACTATTTCAAACACCAGAAGGGTCACCCAGGGTGGACAGGTTTCAGCAGAGTTTCCAGGCAGATGGACTAGGAAGGAGGACCTGAAGATCTACTTGTGACAAAAACTGGCCACTGACAACCTCATGGATAGCCATGGGACACTATCTGCTGTGGTGGCAGAAGATGAACCCCTCAGGTTGAAAGGCCCTTAAAATCCAACTAGGAAAGAGCAGCCTCCTCAAGTGAAGTGAACATTAAGGATGTGGATGACGCAAAGCTTTCAGGACCTTCGACCGGTGATGGAGCACAACTCAAAATCAAAAGGAACAGGTGCAAACATCTATCACCAATGGGAATGTGGAACATACTGAGTATGAATCAAGGAAAATCAGAAAGCAAAATGGAACACCAAAAGATTGATACTCCACACGGTGGTGGCGTTAGGTGCCATCGAGTCAGCTCCGCCTCACAGCAGCTCCATGACCCAGAGAAGGAGGCAGTGGCCAGTCCTGTGCCGTCCTCACAAGCACTGCCATGCCGAAGTCCACCGTCACAGCCACCGCGTCGGTCCGCGTTTCCGAAGCCCACCGTCACAGCCACCGCGTCGGTCCGCGTTTCCGAAGCCCACCGTCACAGCCA